ACACACACACCTATATAGGTATAGGTATATATAGGTGTATACATGTGTGTGTGTGTGTGTATATATGTGTATATATACACATACATATACCTATATATAGGTGTGTGTGTGTATATATATATGCATATATATATACACACACACATACATATATACACATTTATAAGTATAAGTATATATAGGTATACACACATACATTTATATTTATTCATTCCACAAAAATATACTGAATACTTACCATGTAAACTGTTGTAGGTGTGGGAGATGCAGTGAAAAATGACACACATACATGCACACAAATCCCTGTCCTTGTGGAATTAACAATCTTGTAGGGACAGAGAGCCAAGAACAAGACAAATAGGCAACTCAATGTAAGTTCCATGATGATAAATGCCTAGCAATGCTGAAGGAATTGAGTATTTATAAATAGAATGGCAAGGGAGGTTCTCATCTAAAAGGTGACATTTGAGTAAATACCAGAAGGAAGCAAGGAAGCAATGATGTAAATATATAATGGAAAAGGTGTTCCAAGTCAGTGTAACCAGAATTCGTCTGGGAGGCAGAAACCTGGGGCTGATCGCTGAATATTGCTTGACAGATGCATGCATATACTAGGAAGGCTAAGCGACCCAAGGCTGACCCCCTTACTGCAAGAAGGGAGGGCAGATGAGCAACAATAAAAACACCACCAATTTTAATAATGACCAATGGGACTGTTGCTTGAATTGACCATTCAGAGCTGGACAAGTTCCAGTCCTTCATTTGCATGTACAGGTCTAGTTGAAGGTTTGGGAGGGAGTTATTCATTTGACCCTACATGAGATAGGAAGCCACTGGAGGGCTGTGGGCAATGGACAAAATCATCTAACTTATATTTTCACAAAGTTACTTAGGCTATAATATTGAAAATAAGTTTAATAGGGAGAATAGGACAATAGCAAGAGTGGGGAGAACAATAAGAACAGTATTTCAATAACTTAAAGAGATAATGGTCTGGAGCAGGATGGTAATAAAAGGAGTGTTAAGAAGTAGCTGCATTCTGGATATATATTTTTTGAAGGTAAAGTTGATAGAATTTTCTGATAGGGTACAAGACTTTTGGTTCCTCTCTATGCTGACATGTGTAGGTTTCATGCAAATACTATCCCATTTTATATAAGAAACTTGAGCATCTACATATCCATATGAGTTCTGGAACCAATTATCCATAGATACCAAGGAAGTAAATAAAACTGTGTCACATCTTAATACCCAAGCACTCAGAGGATAAGAGAGGTTTTAGAGATTTGGGGAGTAGTTTCTCTAATCTATAAGGAAAGTTCAATGATCCCTCTTCTGTGATAGCATTTACACTACAAAGTCATAATTTATCCCTCTATGTCTAGCTTTCCCACTAGATTATGAGCCTTCATCATCTTTATTATCTTCATTACCTAGCACACAAAATCTTCCCAAGAACGCAAGATAAGTGAATGAATGAACAATTGCTTAAATTCCCTGCATCAAGAAATGACTCAAAAATATATTTAACAAAGGACCAGCACATGGTATGGAGGGTAAGGCACCTGGATCGCACATGGCCAACTATGTGGTTTGAGTCCCAAACCCAGCAGCTCGAAAACCATTCTGGCTGTTTCTGTGTGCATGTCCAAAATACCAAGAAGAGAACAGAGAAGGTATTGTAGTGTGGCCATTCCCCGCTGAGAGATATTTTGTCACTTTTCCTCTCTCTCTCTGGCAAGCATATGTGCCCTATTGCAAATAAATAAATAAACAAATCAATAAATAAGTCATCAGAAAAGTCATGATGCATTTTTGCATAGAAAGACATAGAATAGGTCATGGCTTTTCTAATGACCCAATAAAAATATTTTATATATATATAATTATACATATATATATATATATATATCACATATATATTTTATATATAATAGTAAAGTGCAAAAGAAAAAAATGTCAATGCATTTACCTTTCAGGACTCATATTCTTCTCACCATTCCCCCTTTGCTCAAACTTGTCCAGCAAGCTGACACTTGTCACTTTAGTAGGGAAGACAGTTTGTTTATCTCTAAGTCTCTTGGGTGATGAGATTTCTGTAGAATAAAGAGTAAATGAGTAGTATGTCCTTTATACAGATAAACTCTGATAGCTTTATCCAAGGAAAATTTTCACAGAAGATACACTCTTGTTATCTTTAAATAATTGTCCTTTTCTCTGCTATGGTATAAAGCATGTTTTTGCAGTATATATGCAACAAAAACAACATGCTTAGCATTTAGTAGGTACAAAGAGGCAACTCTTTGTCATTAAAGACCTTTCAATAAATGTAGTTAGAAAAAAATAAGATATGTAAAAAATAATCCCATTTATGAAGGTCTTACTAGGTGCTAACAGTCATACAAAAAACAACTTAGGACAATGACACAAAATTTCTAAATCCCAAGCAAATGGTATAAGCTATAAGGGTCTGACATGTACAGAAGAGAAGCCACTTCAGAATCTAGTAATAAGAGAAGTTTTCATGAAGAAGTCAGATGTGAAAAGCAAAATGTGAATTGGATTGAGATAAACTGAAAAAAAAAAATACAAAGGGGATGCCAGGATGGAGAAAAATAGTCAAAAGATTAGCTCCATATGTAGCCTAATGGGTAAATAAACAGGATCCCATATGGGCAACTGTGGTTTAAATACCAGTTCTAACAGCTTGAAAAACATGCTGGACACATGTATACTCCAAATCCCAACAGAATGAAGAGATGGAGGAGAAGGGAATGTGGTATGACTACACTGAATTGGGCATTCCTCTCTCTCTCTTTCTCTGTCTGTCTCTCTCTCTGGTGAGTGCACTGGACTTTTTTGATAATTAAAGAAAAAGAGTGAACAAAAGGATAAAGTGTGGAAAAGACAAGGCATGTTAGAAGAACGTGAACAGACAATTTTGTTCAAAGAAGGGAGCTGCATAGGAAATGGTAGAATATGAGACTAGAGAAAGAAAAGCATATGAACATTAACAAGAGTTTATCTGTGATCCTGAAGGCCACACATCAAAATCCACAGCAGCAAACCAATGTTTGCCCACTGATATGTTTTGCTTGGTCCAATTAGCTTTTTATTTTAAGAGCAATTAGTTGTCAGCATTTAACAATCAGGAGATTCGCATCAAAGTCAGAATCCCTGCTTCTCTTGAAAAATCAGATTTAATCTTGGCCCACATATCCACAAAGCAACAATCTGCTAGAGGAACAGACCTTTAAAGTGTGGTCTGGCAAACCCTGGAATCCCTTTTTTTTTTTTTTTTTTGCCAGGGTGCATGTACATTTCTGAGAGAGAGAGAGAGAACTCCTCAATGGGTCATGGCCATAACACAACACTTTTTTCCTCCATTTTTCTATCCCATCAGGATTTGGGATGCACATGTGCCTGGTGTGTTTTTCAAGCTTCTAGGGACAGGATTCAGACTACAGCTGACTATGTGGGATCCAGCTCCCAATGTACAGCATTTAACCACTGCACTATGGGGCCAGCTCCCCTAGAATATGTCTCCAAAGACCTAGAATTGCCTTCCTATGTTTCAACCTAAACAACATATCACAATTGATTAAATACAGATACAGATATGAGAATTTAGCTACAGACATCAGATATAAAACTGGCACTTCCTCACTTTTTATCTAAAAATCTTAATCAAACATGTCTACCCTTCTTATATCTATTCTACTTCTTGCCTTTATGTTACCTGACTGGACCCTATATGTATCTGAGGTTGGTTTTGTTTCTGTTTTTTTGTTTTGTTTTGTTTTGTTTTTGTTTTTCCATAAGGTGCATGCATTTGCAGGAAAGAAACAGGTAGAAAGAGGGAAAGTGAGACATCATGTCCCAGGGTGGAAGGCCACGCTGCAATCCCTTCTCCTTCATTTTCTTCTGGGGGTTTTGGGCATGCTCAGCATGATTTTCAAGGTTCTGTATCTGGAACTCGAACTGCAGCTGACCATTTGGAACTCCCCACCTTTAACCTCACATGCCTGCTAGCCTAGTATCTGAGTTTTTACCACTGTAAGCAATAGAGAGCCAGAAAAGAGATGACAATGTAAGAGTCAGAAAGCCATAAGATCTAGAATTCATAAAATAATTAATACAGAATTTCAGGCACAGAAGATGTTTGTTAGAAGAACACAGTGAATATTCCTGAACCTAATTTTATTTCTTTTGGGCATATAAATTACTAAGCAATACGACTGGGCTCATAAGCAGTAAAGAATGACAGATTATATCCTGAAACCATTGGCCTACCTCTGATGCCTTCTTTGTCTACCTGGTCTTGTAACTTCCTTTGTGTATTCTTTCCACCTTCTTCTGCAATGGTCTCCATGGGAGGTTTGTTTTCTGTTTCCTTAAGCTCAATCCTAGGAATAAGTCAAGATATTTGTCCACTGCAATGGACCTAAACAGATGACCATGTGAAAAGCATCCTAATCAGCTCACTGATTATGACTGGTCCACTTCCTTCAAAGGGGGTGTTTTGATTTACTGAGTATATATCATGGATTAACTCTCTCTGAGGCTGCTATGGTCTGAGTATGTCCCCCCCAAATTCATGCTAACATCTGGTTGCTATTGCAATAGTGTTAAGAGAATGGAGGCCCAGCCATGGTAGCACAGAAGTTAGGGCAACACTGCACAATGCTAGAGATATTTGGGAGTCCTAGGTTCTGGTCCTGGATCAACCTGAACAGCCCAGGTACATCCACACATGCCTGTAATTTTGGCTGCCTAGAAGCTGGGTGAGACCCTGCCATGTGTGCCTCTCTCTGTATTTCTCTGTGTCATGAAAGAAATTAAACTAAAAAAGAGGGTGGAAGGCCAGAAGATGGCATGGGGAGGTACAGCACTGGATCCCACATAGCCAATTCCAGGGTTCAAGTCCTGGACCTAGCAGCTCAGAAATCATGCTGGGCACATGTGCATGTGTGCCCAAACTCCTGAGGTAACTGGAAGAAATGAGATTGTGGTGTGGCCATCCCTCTGGGGATGATTTTTCACTATCCCTCTGTGTCTCTCTCTCCGGCAATTGCACACACACATAAAGTGGAAACTTAATCCAACTATAGTATTTTTTTTCTACCTTTTAACTATAAATTTTATTGTGTGTATTTGAGGTTAAAAAAATAATGTTATGAAATATGAGGTACAGCAGGTAGCATGGATGTTAAGGCAGCTGAATCCCACATAGTCGACAATGCAATTTGAGTCCTAGACCCAGTGGCTTTATAATCAAGCCAAGTGTATGTGTATACATGCCCAAAATCCCACCTCCCTACCCTGTCTTTCTCTGGCAAGCACAGGTGCCCTGTGGCAAAAAATAAAATAAAATGATGTTATGAAATATATAAAGGTACAGAAATACATACAGATAGTACAATGGTGAAGCATTTTAACATATACATCAGCTCATATTGCTACTTTGTGTAGATATGTGATTAAAACAACTAAGATCTATTTAACAAAAATTCCTTACCTATTTCTTTTTTCTTTTTTAAGAGATTTTTGCCTTAGGGCATGTGGACTCACCAGAGAGGCAGAGAGAATGAGGCAGTGAAAGAGAAAATCAGAAATCACCCCCAGGGCGGTTGGCCAAGCCAAAGTCCTTTCTCCTCCTGGGGTTTTGGGCATGCACATACATGCACGTGGCATGTGGAATCCAGCTGCCTTAACTACCACACTGCTTGCTAGCCCCACTGGAAAGGTTTTTTGTTATTTCTTCCCTTCTACTAATTTTAGGTTTCTTTGTGTTTGTTTTTCTAGCTCCTTGGAGTGCAATTATGTTATTTAAAATCTTTTGTTTTTAATGTAGGCATTTATTGCTATAAGCTTCTTAGTGCCACTTTTGCTGTATTCCATAATACAGTAAGTTGTATTTTCATTCCCATTAGTTCCAAGACATTTTTAAAATCTCTTCTTAATTCCTTCATTGGCCTAGTGGTCATTTAGGAGTATGTTTAATTCCATATATCTGAACAGTTTCCAAAGATCCTATTATTGATTTCCAGTTTTGTTATATTGTGGTCAGAAAAGGTACTTGACAGGGATTTTAAAAAATTTGTTGAAGCCTGTTTTCTATCCTGGAGAATATTCCAATATAATGATTAGAATAGTATATATTCTGTAAATATTGGATGGGATGTTTTGTAGATGTCAATTAGGTTCATTTGGTCTATAGTACAAATTGACTTAGATGTTTCTTTCTTTTTTAACACATACCAGTCATCTTTTATTGGGTGTGAATTCTTGACTGGGATATGAAAGGACTCAACAAGTTCCTTTGGAGGGATGCTAAGCCAAGGAGATGATGGTCTGGTTCAGTGCATGACCTCCATGCTGGCCCTCTTCAGTGGTATTTGCGTTGCCTCTGTGTTTGAGTTTCTTATAAGAAAGGCAGTAGCTGAAGAGCATATAAGCAGCCAGCACCATAGAAACCCCAGCAACACCCCCTTTCTTCACGTTGACATACTTGTAATACCAGTAGCAACCTATCTGAAATGCTCCAGCAATGCCTTTAGGGGTAAAAATCCCGCATCAGTATCCAGCTTGGCAGCTCCCCAAGTTTGACATCCATGAGTTTCTTCTCCTTCACTGGTATGACTGACGCCATCTTGGAGGCCTGGTGTCCACTCCCGACTCAGATGTCTCCTTAATTATCTTCTGTCTGGACAATCACTTCAATGCTGAGATTAGGGTGTCGAGGTGTTGAACTATTATTACAATGAAGTCTATTGTTTGCATTAGGTCTACTAATATTTGCTTCAGGTATTTGGGTACATATAATATTGGGTTGTCAGAAAAGTCATGATGTATTTTTTCTATGCAAAAATGTGTCATGACTTTTTTGATGACCCAGTATTTACTATTATGATATCATCTTGCTAAATTGATCTCTTTATCATTATATAATGACTTTGTCTCTTTTCACAGATTTTTTTTTTAACCTAAAGTCTATTTTATCTGATATAAATTCAGGGATCAAACTTTACATAAATAAAACACCAATGATTGTTTTGAGCATTTGAGTTCCCCTGTCCATTTCTAGGTTCTCAAATTCTTGGAACAAGCAGATAGCGTAATGGCTATGTCGCTGAACTCCCATGTAGCCGACAGTGGTTCGTGTCCCGGACCTGATGGCTTAAACTCACGCTGGGCGTGTGTGTGTGCATGCCCAAGACCCCGAGAGGAGAATGGAGGAGAAGGGATTGCGGCGTGGCCTTCCCCGCTGGGGGGTGATTTCTCGCTTTCTATCTCTCTATCTCTCTCTGTCTTTCTGGTGAGCACACGGGCCCTATAGCAAAAACCTCTCAAAAAAAAGATAAAAAAAAATTATTTGACCCACTGCAATTGTTTTCTTCCTAGAGTGCTTAAGCCAAAGTATGTCAAAAGAGATAACCAAATTTGCCTACCAAAACAATCTAACTAAATTTATTTTGAATCACTGATTTATTTTTAATGTGAAAGGCAAGATTGTGCCACAGAAAGAACAATGGCGGGTGGTACCAGAATTTCCAGGGAGCCAAGAGTAGTTTTAAAAAGGAATATTCTAAAGCCCATTGTTACTTTTTAACTATAAACAATGTATGCAACAAACTTTTCTTTTGTATTTAGGAGAGAGAGGAGAGACTGCACCAAAAGGAGCATGAGCTGCAAAGTGTCAAGGAACACTGCCCAATCAGAGCAGTAAATCAACAATGAGCACTGGGCCTGGAAGAATCCACACACAAAGTACTCACCTTGGAAATGCAAGCGTGCTGCTGGGCTGCTTCCCAAAGGCCTCTCTGCTAGACAATACTGAGTCCACAGTGCCAGGTCTCTAGGGACAGAGAAGGGTTACAACTAGGCTGTAGTTCTGGACACAGGCAAGTCGAAGCTACAAGCTGTCTCACAGATGAAGCTACTATGATATTCTGTTGTTGGTGTGTTAGTACTCAAAGCCCAAAGCATTGACTCCAATGAAGACTGATCTCGTTTATCAGAATAGTCATCCTGGGTAGCTGCATAGCAATTCTATTCAGGTTACCTTTTCTCAAATCATTCCACCTTTGAAATTGCCTGCAGAGTTGACAGTTTCTTTTAGACATCTTTAAAAGAAGAGCTGACTTATTAAAGCAGTCAGGAAAATGACCAAGATGACTAATTCCATCCTTGACCCAAGTGACTCTAAAAGCAGGCAGTTAAGGAAATCTGGAGCAAGGTGAGCTCCATTCAGAACCTTACACTGCTAAGAGCTCTGTGGCTGCACTGCATTTTATTTCGTAGGGCTTCCAGGAGGTCTCTGTATAAGTGATTACCATATAGTAAGCCCTCAACAAAAAACTATTCTAATTATATTATATAATAACCATATTACTATATTATATCAGTATGGAACAAAACATTTGACTTATTTTTATATAAATACTACATATTATAAAAGGCTTTGAAGAGAATTCCCAAAAAGAAAAAATAAGTTTTAAGAAAGTTTCAAGGGTCAGCCCCATAGCCTAGTGGTTAGCGGGCTGGATCCCACATATCTGACCACATAGTTCAAATCCCAGCCCCAGCAGCCTGGGGATCATGCCAGGTGTAGTGCATGTGTGCTCAAAAACCTCAACGGGATGGAGAAATGGAAAAGCAATTGCAGTGTGACCACAACACAATGGAGGGTGCTTTTCCCATTTCTCTCTATTTCTGTCTCTGGCAAGTGCACACACCCTCTAGTAACTGAAAACAAAAAAGAAGTTTCCAACAAAAGCAGCTTGTCAGTAAAATAAGCACACAGCTTTCCAAGAGACTACTGAGTCTTAAGGACAGCACATTTGGGAATAAAACCATCACTCCCACCACTTTACAGCAGTTTCCAAAAATATGTTTTACAGAGTTAGTAAAGTATTAGTACTAGATTAACCTAGACTTTTTATTTAATTTTATTTATTATTATTACTTTAATTTGCTATTGGGCATGTGCACTCACCAGAGAGACAAAGAGAGACATGGAAAAGGAGAACAAGCTGCCAGGTTTGGGACTCAACCCACGTTCAACCATGTGGTGGGTATTTGAACCATGGTCAGCCATGTGGGAGTACAGTGCCTCAACCACCATGCCACCTGCAGGCCCCTTAACCCAGCTTTCATGATTCAATTGGTTGCTTTACAACCAGACTTCTCAGCTCCTCCAATGTGCTCATGTACTGCCCTTGTGCCTCTGTCCACAAGGGGAATTGATAGTAATTGCCAATTCTCAATCTGCTTCGGCCTCTAAAGCCTTTTTTCATAGAATATTTTAGGACTAGTTCTTTTAAAATATGTTCCTTGAAATTTATGCTTTAGATTTCAATAAGCCAAGTAAAATGATATCCTCTCTTCTTAATGCACACTGAAACTACAAAGTTCAACAGTATTCTCTGAAGTTTAGATGACCTAGCCACTTTGGCCTTGCTTCTGGACTTGCAAATCTTGTCTCTGCTTTCACGGCAAAGAGGTTATACCAGTATGTGTTTCCACTTTTCACACATCTTGGCATCTCTCTCAGTCACCCTGTATGAAATCAGAATGTTTATAGAAAAATCACTCTGGAAGCAGGTACATGCATACCCCACCCAAATCCCAGGAGGACAGAGAAGGGATTGTGGGGGGTGATATCTCACTTCCTCCCCCCCACCCCTCTCTGGTGAGCACAGGTGCCCTATAACAAAAACCTTAAAAACAACAACAAAAACCTGAGAGCCTTGTCATGTGTGGGGACACGTTTAGAGAGAGACCTGAGGTTTGGGGACATGCTCTGAGCAAATACTACCTGTCCTTTTGGGCTTTGGCCTTATAACTTGTGCTTTCCTTGACCCTTGCTGCAGACAGAGCAAGGGTGGAAATTGCTAGGGGCATTCCAACAGAAACATCTAATGGTCTTCAAGAAACATCTTGACCCCAATTAGCAAAGTCCAATCCCTGCTCTGCATCTGAAAGGTTCTTTAGCCTTCTCTGTGTGTGGTGGTGCACACCTTATGAAGAAGTTCTTTAGCCTCCTTCTCCACACCTACAGCAAGGTTTCTTTGCATTAGGAAAGATGAGACTTTCTCTTAATGGGATTATCACCAGGGGATACACCTGGCCCAGTATGACTAAGCCCTTATAGATTTGTTAACTGCTTATTGTCTGTAACCTGGCAACAAATCTATGAAGTGTCATGAAACATACATGTGTAATGTTTCCTTGTACTATAAATAAAGAGGCCCAGTTTGTCTGGATGGCTCAAGCAGTGGCTCAAGTACAGCACAAGTTGCTTGGGCTACCTAGGCTCAGGCTGCCCGTTTCCATTTCTACTCTATGTCTTTGTCTCATTCTTTCCAATTCTCCAACTCCTGGTCCTCTCAAGATGGAGGGCTTTCTCTTTCTTGTCCTCTTTCTCTTCCTCACCAGCAGCCCTCTGATCATGATTCAGCTAGACCCAAGCCCCAGGGCGAACGCTGACAGTCGTGCACAACCCATCTCTTAAATCCCACCCCAGAGCTCCATCCCAGGCTATATTCACAGACTTTTCATTTAAAAATCAGGCTTTTGTACTATGGGGTATAAAATTATATAAGGGTGCTCCAAAAAAGGGCACAAAAAATGGAATTAAGGTACAAGTTTACTTTGGTGCAAAAAAAGGTGAAATCCATGAATAGATTTTTTTTTAAATAACACATTTTTCATGAACTTTTGAAAACTCCTTGTATAACATTTAATGATAACCCAACTCATTCATGGCAACTTTGTTAATTCTCACAGGTGTACCTGAGGCACATCGAGTCTTCCAAAATCCTTCCCTTGAATCTTTAAACACTGCCTCCTGAAAACAGCAGATGGCGTAATGGTTAAGTCACTGGACTCTCACGTAGTCTACTGCAGTTTGAGTCCCAGACCAGGTGACTTAAAACTCAGGCTGGGCACATACGCATACATGCATGCCCAAGATCCCAAGAAGAGAATGGAAGAGAAGGGATTGTGGTGTGGCCATTGCCCCGGGGGTGTGATTTCTCACTTTCTGTCTCTTTGTCTCTGTCTCTCTGGTGAGTGCAAGCACCCTATAACAAAACTCTCTCTTAAAAGTAATAACAATAAGGGGTTGGCAAGTGGCGTGGCAGTTAAGGCACTGGCTCCCACATGACCAACCTGGACCTGGAGTCTTGCTTTCTCACTTTCTGTTTATCTCCCTCTCCCTCTTTCTCTTTCTGGTCAAATTTTTTAAAATAATAAATAATAAATAAAATTAAATACTTTAAGTAATCATAATAATTTTTAAAATTAATTTAAAAAATAAACATTGCCTTCTTTAACTTTTCTATTGAGCTATCAGGAAAGTCATGATGCATATTTGCATAGAAAAAATGTGTCTTGACTTTTCCAACAACCCAATATGATCAACTTGGCATGAAGATCATACCAATTATGTATAGCTAACAATGGAGTAACTCTATTTACAGGTTAACAATGATGGCACCAATTATAACACTTGTTCTGTAATGCAAAAAATTTAAAGCTAAAGATACATTTCCATGATTTGAATTAGACTTTATTGAACACTTTCATTAAAATAAAATGGTAGGGGACCAGGAGATGGCATAATGATTACATCACTGGACTCCCACATACTCACACAACTGCGGTTAGAGTCCCAGACCCAGAAGCTTGAAACTCACACCCAGCACATGTGCATGAGTGCCCAAAATCCTGAGATGAATGGAGGAAAAGAGATTGCAGCATGGCCATCCCAGGTGGGGAGTAATTTCTTGCTTTCTGTCTCAGTCTCTCTCTGTCTCTCCTGTAGCAAAACTCTCTCTCTCAAAAAAAAAAAAGTAAATAAATAATAAAATAAAATAGTAGAACTAGCAAAAACTAAGTGATCAGGAAGTGCAGGCTTGAAGCCCAGTTCTACCATTATCAACACCCTGACCTCTCTGAGTCAACTTTTCCAACTTACAAAATCAGGCTGATGGGACCAGCACTTAGCGTAATGGCTATGACACTGGTCTCCCGTGTAGTTAATCACGGTTCGCATCCTGGACCCAGTGGCTTAAAACTCACACTGGGCACATGTGCATGCATGCCCAAGTTCCCAAGAGGTGAATGGAGGAGAAGGGAGTGAGGCATGCCCATCCCCTCCAGGGGGTGATTTCTCACTTTCTATCTCTCTGTCTCTCTCTGTCTGGCTGGCAAGCGCATATGCCCTATAGCAAAAACCTCTCCCCCCCCCAAAAAAAAAAAAATCAGGCTGATAATAATACTGATTTTATAATGTTTGAGACTCAAATGTAATGATGCATGCAGAAGGACATTTCGAACTGTTAAGGCACTATAAAATATTTATAATTGTAAGACATTTTATTACTCTTTAATAATCTTCTATACTCTATATTCTATATTCTTCATTTGACACTGACTCAAAACTTAAAGTTCTTTGTCCTTTTAGTCTTTTTTGGTCAAAGTAATCATCTATGAACAAGTACTTTCCATAGGCAATTGTAATTTAAATATGTTGACCTGAATTTTTCTTAATAATGACACAACTATAGGTGATTCCAAGCTATAACTAGGAGAGGGATTAGAAGAAATAAAACATTCATTTACATTTGCTAGGGCTTTCACCAAAGTCCCACTTCCATCCATGGTACAAAGGAAATCTTTATAAAATCTCATCTTCACTTTGCTGTCTCTGATCACGAGGACCCCAATTCCTTTGAATGTAAACTCCACATTTTGTTTGATGGAAATGGATCGTGATAAAAAAAGCAAGGTCTCTTTCACACATCCTTCCACTATATCCCTGTTAAATGGACCCTCCAGGGAAATCATGACAAAATTAAGTGGTACAATTGGGATATCACCTACAGAAGAAAAAGATAGGGTGGGGGAAAGGAAGATTACAATAAGGAAATATTATATATAACTCACAATTATTTGTTTCTCACTTAAAACTCAAAAATAGAATTGTTCATGTGATGCTTTTACTTATACCCAATATAATGCTGCAGACAACCAACACAACCAGTTATTAATACATTAATCAGTATAATTTTCCCTAAAATATAATTTTTTATGCTCAAAATAAAAACAATTAGCTTTCTAGGTCCAACCACTGTGACACGGCAATAACGCCAACACTCTACAGTGCTGGAAGTCACATAGTGACTGCAATTCAGGTCCTGAGTCAGCCTGGAAAACATGCTCGGCAGGAACTCAGGATCCTGAGAAGTCAGAGGGATAGGGAAAGGGGATTCTAGTGTGACAAGCCCCATTATGGGTGCCTTCTCTCTACCTCCTCTCATGTGTGTGCATACATGTGCCCTATCATAAAAAATAAAGGACAAAAGCTATTAACTTTCAAAACTACTCCCTAAATAAGCTTCTTATGTACGTATTTCAAAATCTTTTGTACCAGAGCCAGTGGATAGGATGGTAGTTAAGGCACTGGACTCCCACATGGCCAACTGAGGTTCAAGTTCTAGACGCAGTGGCTTGAAAATAATTCCAGGCACATGTGCATGCATGTCCAAAATCCTGAGAGGAGAATGGAAGAGAAGGGATTATGGCATGGCTATGCCCCAGGAGGCGATTTCTCCCTTTCCCTCTCTCTGTCTCTCTCCAGCAAGCGCATGCACCATATGGCAAAAACCTAAGGACCAAAAAAAAAAAAACAACTTCGTACCAAAATAAATTTTTACTTTAATTCCCTTTTTCCACACTACCATGGCAGGACCATTTTTTAAAATTAATTATATTACATTTCTTCTCTCATAAATCTCTAGATAAAAATGGCTGAAAAGTTCATTAAACCTTCTATATTCAAAAATACACAAAATGAATTGTAAGTATAACTTATTGGTATTTTTTTTTCCAACAGGTAATTTTCAGGAAAATTAAAGGGAAGTTATAGCCTTTTCACCCACCAGCATTGAGGTAGGGGTCTGATTCAGGGGGGGATGAAAAGGTCAAAAGGAACATACCTGAGAATCCAAAAATAAGCTCCAAAGGTCCCTAAGTAACACAGGTAGGTGCCATGGAGCCCACACTTAAAAACTGGAATGTGAGTGCACCAGGGCAGGAATACATCTGTCTTATTTACTATTTTGTCAAAGTGCTAAGAATAAGGCCTGGCACATAGTTGGCCTTGAGTAAATATTACCAGGAGGAAGGAATGATGGTTGGTTTTAGGGGGAGAGAAAGGTACATTACGTATGATTAAGTCTTTATAGAATTATATATACTTTGGACTTTTAAATGTTAATAATATATGTGTGAGTGTGTGTGTATATATATATTTAGTTATCTTCTTTTTTCCACAGTTGATACTGACTGTAATTCTCCCAGAGATGCTAGTTAATGTTCTCTCCTTTGTAACCACTTTAATTTTAAAATCTAAAATCTAAGCAAAAAGTCTGTACAACTCTCTGTCTCTTGTTACTGGGGTTTAAAATGGCCTGATGAAGACTCTGTTATCTTCTGATCTTGACCCCTTCCTCTGCCAACAGTACTCTGTGAAAATATCCTCACATTAGAAACTAATAAAGCAAGAGTTGAGGCCTTCCTTCAGAAGAGGATTCCTCATGGCTCCTGCAAACTAGTCATTTCAGGGGACAGGAAAAATGAAGATTTTCTACTGATAATTCAGCCTCCAGCAAACAAAGTTAGCGTGATGGATCTAAGGGCACTGTAGCTAAACATCGAAATACTATTAGGGTTAACATTCCTCAATATCTACTGAATCTGCTGCACCAGTGATCACAACAGAATGGCAAAGAGATTCCAGATCACCTCTTTCTGCTTGCTCCTGAACACTCAGATTGAACTTCAAGAATTCAAAAGAAACACACCATCCATTAGATGACAAGAAATCACTGCAGGACCACAAGAAATATGGGAAAGCAAGAAAATACCTCTCCTCCAAGGGAAAAGAATAACTCCTCTTCATCCACAAACAGTTCAATGGAAATGTCTGATAAACAATTTAGAACATTCATAATGGCAAAGCTAACTGAGATGGAAGAGAAGAGAGACAATGAACTGCTAAAGAGAAAGGAGAAAGAAATTGACGAGTTCCAGGAGGTGAGGAAATTCTTGCAAGATCTAAAAGAGGAATTACATGCTTTACAAAAGAGTCAAACGGAACTGTTAGAAATTAAGTCTGTAATACAGGAAGTCAAAATCTCCCTTGAAAGTATTAAAAGCAGACTGGATCATACAGAAAACAGAATCAAAACAGAATCTCAGACGTAGAAGAGAAAATAGCTGGCCTAGAAAAATCCACCACGAAGACTGAGAAAATGGC